ATGTGATGGGGGATTAGAGAGACACCCTCGGGGCAGTGATGGGGGACTGGGAGAGACCCTCGGGGCTGTGCCAGGGATTGGGGAGAGACCCTCAGAGCTGTGCAGGGGTCCCTGTAAAGAGACCCTTGGGGCTGTGCCGGGGTTTGGGGAGAGACCCTGGGACTATGATGGGGTCCTCACAAAGAGACCCTCGGGGCTGTGCTGGGCACCAGGGAGGGACCCTGGGGCTGTTCTGGGGTCTCCACAAAGAGACCCCTCAGAGCTGTGCCAGGGATTGGGGTGAGACCCCTTGGGACTGTGCCAGGGTCCCCATGAGGGGTGTGTGGGGCTGTGCAAGGGTCCCTGGGCAGAGACCCCTCAGGGCTGTCCTGGCATCCCTGTGGCTGTGCCAGGATCTTCAGAGAGACCCCTCGGGGCTGTGCCAGGTCCCCAGAAGAGTTGCTTGGAGCTTGGTCCCCAGAAGAGCCCCCAGGGCAGTGCCAGGGTCCCAAACTCAGCACCCAGTACCCATCCCCTGGCAGTGGGGCTGCCCACACCTCCTGAGCTGCAGCATCAGCCTGATTTTAGTTCACTTTTCCACCTTTTCCCCCCATTTTTCCCTGCCCAGCCTCCGTGGCTGTAGTTTCTGTGTGAACTTTGAGGGCTCTGGAGCCGTGGTGGCTCCGTGCTGCATGTCTGCTTGGTGGGGGCTGCCCGTGTGTTACTGAGTAATATTTGCAAATTCACTTTCTGCTCTTAATAAGGCAGAAATAATCTTCTTTCACCCATTGCCACTGGCTGCTACACTAAAAATAGGGTCCGTCCGCGCCGCTTGCCACTTGCAGCATTTCAAAAATAAATACTTTGGAGCTGCAGATACCAGTGCTGCAGGAGAGGAGGCTCATTGCCATTTGATTACTGAACTTAACCTTGTTTTCTCCCCCCTGCCAAACGCTGTGCAGGAATCCAGACCTGTGCTCCAGTCCCTCTCCCTTCCCCTCCTGGATTTTCTCACCTGGAAGAGGGGATGCTCAGTTGTTGGGGTGGGGGTGCAAAGATTTTGCATTTTGGCTCCTTGGCTCCCTGGCACAGCCTGTGGTGCAGGGGTGGGGGGAATATGCTCAGCCTAGACCTGAAGTGCATTTTATTTGGCTGTTTATTTTATTTAACTCTTTAGTTTACTGAACTCTATCTTATTTAACTCTTTTATTTTATTTGAGGCATTACAGCATCTCCACTTGGCCGCTGAGTTTGCAGTGAGCTGTTGCATATTTTCCCCTGGGTTTTTACATTTCCTTTGCATAAAAATATGGGGAAATAACCCCCAAACCCTGCAGTGAGAGCAGGGCAGGTGCCACCCCTGTGCCGGGGGGGCTGGGTGGCTTTGGGGACCCCCTGCCCAGTTGGGTGACATCCCCCTGCCAGCCTCAAATCCAAGGGTGGGATTTTCCCCCCCTCTCTCCTCATTTACAGAAGAAAGGGACATTTCCTTTGACCCTTTGGGGCCTTCAAGGGCAGGACTTTTCAGCTCTTTTCTTTCCTGGGGCTTTGGCTGGGGGGGTGAAAGCCTTTGGCTGCTTTGTCCCCCACCCCAGAGGGTCCCTGTCCCTTTGTCCCTGTCCCACCTTCCTGGGGAGCTGCAGGGCTTGGGGGATATTTGGGGGGTTTTGGGGGAATGATTCTCCACCCAGTCTCTCTGTTGTTTGGCTAAGAAAAAAAAGACAATTTAAATACATTATCTAATTATTTCTGATTACTCCTGGGGGAGTTCTGATGGCAGCATCTTATTCTAGGTCGATGCTTTTTTCCTTTGTTGCTGTTGCCTCGCCCTGACCTTTCAGGCCTCAGAGCAGGGAATTAGTTTGGAAAAGAGCAAACCTGCTTTTTTCTTTCCCCCAAAGCAGATGAATGCAGAAACTGAGAATTCCCAAACTCTCCTGGAAGTTGTCTCAAATAACAGCTGCATTTTTTATGAACATCTTGTGACAAAGGCTATGACTTTACAAAAATCAGGCAGAGATGTACAAATTACCCTCCTGGATCCACAGGCTGGAGAAAGAGGCTGCCGTCAGAAAACAAAATTATGTTCTGCCTGAATGGTCACATACGTAAAATGATCAAGGTGGGGGATGTTTGTCTGGTTTTAATCCAGTTTTATCCAAGTTTTCCCACTTGGATATGTCCTGTTGATGGTCTGTCACCTGTAGGACACTCCAGGCCAAAGGGGACTGGATTTTTTGGGGTGATGATCATGCTGGGGGCTCCTCCTGCACCTTGGGACACAGCTCAGCTTGGGAGATGAGATTGGAAAAATACAGTTTGCATCTGTAACTGCAAAGGTCATTCCTCCTGCAGCACAGCTCTTCCTGTGTCAGATGGGCTGAGGCCATTTCAAACCCTTCAAAAGTCACTTGGTGCTCTATTTAAAAGAAAAAATATCATATTTAATAGAGGAATTTTAAAGTTAGAAATTGTTATATTGCATTTGCTGTCTAATCACAGTAGCTTTTTGTTGCTGTTGTTTTTAGGGAATGTGAGGTTTGGTGGTGAGCAGGTTCTCCCGGGCTTTCAAGACTGTTTTATTTCTTCATGTTTTGGGGTTGGTGGTGGTTTCGGGTTGGGTTCTGGGAGGCTTTTTTTGTATCTTTTGGTCACAAAAAGGAAGGGGCAGAGGGAGGAAGAAGGAAAAATTCCAGCAGTTCTGGCTGATGGTTTGTTGGGGTGGTTTTGTAGCTTTCTTGTGTGGCTTTGCTCGTGTTCCTTGATGCTCTTTCTAAACCAAACACTGTTACTTTCTCCCCATTTCCCTGAGAGCTGCATTTTGGGATGCACAGTTGTGTGCAGCATCTTGGTTCAAACTCTCCTGGGAGGTTTCAGCTGAGATTTGCCGAAGGTTTGGGATGCTGGGGCACTTTGTTGCTTCTCTCTGGCTTAACCAGACCCTAAACCAGCCCAGTTTGGTGCTTTTAGGGAGAGACAGGGGTTGCTCCTGACAAGCCTGTTTGTTTATAGAGCAAATTCTAAGTAATATTAATAATTGATATTTATTTTAAGTTTGGCTTGTTCTGTGCTACCGAGCTGTCCTTGGCTGGGTCCGAGGAGGTCCATCCAAGGCCTCCCTGGTGTCTTCTCTGAGGAAGCCCTTCCTGGAAGAGGAGGAAATCCTTCTCCACCCGTGTTCTTCCCATCCTCATGGAAGGATGAGGCTTCTTTAGGTGCCTGAGCAGTGTTATTTTTTCTGTAACTCAGGTTTTCCTCAGTAATTTTCACAGATCCAGAGCAGATCTTTGTTTGCCAGGGCAGATTCCATCCTTTCTCCAGCAGAGCTGGGTGGTGTCATGCCTGGGAGAGCTTTTGGGCTCTCAGGCTTGCTCGTTGTGGTGTCACCTCTGATCTCCTGGCGGGATGTCACCTTTGTCCCCTCTCAGCAGCACCGACCCCAGTGACCTCCTGAGGGGTTGGGGTGAGCGTGTTGAGCATCCCGAGGCAGGGAGCCCTGCTGTGGGGGCAGTGGGGCTCTCCAGGCCCCTGGGGCTGCAGATCCTGTGGCATTTGGGGCAGCCACATCACAGGGCTGTGCTGGGAGCACAGCACTGCCCTGCCCTGGGCTTGAACTTGGTGCACCAAACATCCCTTTGGGTGTGGAGCTGTGAGCAGGATCAGGAGGGAAGGGTCAGGCTGGAGCATCACCAGCCCTGTGCTCCCTGCAGTTATCCTGCTCTGGGGATGTTCTCACCTCTCATCCCTGGAATTTTAACTGTGTGTGACCATCGGAGCGCAGCAATTGAGCCAAGCCCGAGGCCAATGGCACAGGGGAAAACGCTCTGGGCAAGGGAGAAAGAAGCAAAGGGAGGCCCCACCCTCTTTCCCAGAAAAAAGCACCAAACATGCTCAATAAATGCGAAGGTAATTTAAAATCTGAATCCAGGAGACAATGTGACTGGGATTTCATTACTTAAGCAAATGGATTTGCTTTTAGTGGATTCAGCCACAGACTGAAAGAAGCTTTCCCCAAGGGGTAAACATTTTTCCTGCATTTGAAAGGCTTTCTTGTATTGGGGGTTGGGGGATCTGGGGAGGGGCAGGAAGCAGGACTGTGGCTGCCCAAGGAGCACCTTTATTTTGGGCAGATTTGGGCATTCCCAAAGCTGTGCTTTTGGGGTGGGACGCTGGGCCAGGTGGGAAGATGCTGGGCAGGGATGCAGGGGTTGTTGAGGGGATGCAGGAGGATGCTGGGGGCATGTGTGGGTACTGCAGGAGGATGTTGGGACCATGCAGGGGTGATGCAGGAAGATGCTGGGGGGATGCTTGGGGATTCAGGAGGATGCTGAGGATGCAGAGGGTGCTGGGGGTACAGGAAGATGCTAGGGGGATGCTCGGGGATGCAGGGGGATGCTCAGGATGCAGGGGATGCTGGGGGTACAGGAGGATTCTGGGGGTACAGGAGGATGCAGGGGATGCTGGGGGTACAGGAGGATGCTGGGGGGATGCTGGGGGTACAGGAGGATTCTGGGGGTACAGGAGGATGCAGGGGATACAGGAGGATGCTGGGGGGATGCTGGGGGTCCAGGAGGATGCAGGGGATGCTCACCACCCCTGCTCCGTGCCTTCCCCTGGCCGCAGGAGTTAACCAGCAGCAGTGCCAGCTCTGCAGACTGTTTGGAATAGTTTAAATGCTTTGACACTCTGGATGTACTAGATGGCAGGGGAGGCAGTTTACAGCGTAATTCATATGCAAAACTGCACTATAAATTTAAAACCTGTCTCAGTTGCCGTGGCACCACTAAGCATTTCATCAGCATACAGTACAGTATTTCTGCCATCTTTGTTTGCATTGCAGTGACTCATCAAAAGTCTGTCTTGTACCAACACTGAGAGCATTCCTCTGGCACTGATATTTCTCTGTTTTTAAAGCTTCGGTTTGAAACTGGCATTTACTTCAGGTCCCTAATCAAAGGGCTCTATTCATTGCAGAGAGCAGCCTGAATGTTAATCTGCATCCGGCCTATTCATTTAGATGCTGTGCGCTGCCGGGGAGATTTGACTTGGTAAAAGCTTGAGCTCCAGCAGATACAAACCTAGCGCTTGATACTATATTTTATTTTCCCCCTCCCCCGAGCATCGGCGGTCGGGGAGCGGAGCCCCTCGGCTCCAGGGACGCTGCTCAAGGTACGTTCGCTCCCGGCCAGGCGAAGGCACCGCGAACTTCCTCGCTTGGAAGAATTTTTTTATTTTTTTTTTTTAACCATGCAGATACAATTTAATTGGCTCCGAGTGTGTTCCCTTTTCTTCCTGTTACCCCGTGGCCTTGCAGATAGGACTTTTTTTTTTTTTTTCTCCCCTCGGCAATGGGAACAGAGCAGCTCTTTGTGGGTTATTATTTTCTTTCCTGAGATTTTTTTTTAATCTTTCTCAGATAAACTTCTATATTTTTTTCCCCTTTAAAAAAAAAAAAAAAAAAAAAAGCTCGTTCTTCTGAGCTTTCGGTACTAGTTAAACGTAGTTTTTCTCCAGCGTTATTGCAGGCAGACAGGATTTGAAATCTGCTGGACTCTTTGGGGAGGAAGCAGGGGGGGTCTGGGCTCGGTGCATCCGCAGTGAGCGATTTGCTCCGCTGGAGTTTCGGCTGCACCAGCGCTACCTTTGCGCACCTTCCAGCTCCCTTCCAGCCTCTTTTTCTGGGAGGTGGGAGCGGCGATTCTGCCCATGGCCAAAAGGTACAGCTGGCCCTGGAGAGCGGCCGTGCCGGGCTGCGGAGCCGCCTCCAGCCCGGGCTCGCTCGGGGGGTCCTCGCTGCCGGTACCGGGGGCACCGGGCTGGGGCTGGGGGCTCTGCCTGCACCAGGGGCTGGGCTGGGGCTCCCCCTGCCCCGCTCGGGATCCGGGGGAGGAAAATGAGGAGACAACTTGGTAGGCGGCTCGCTGCGGCAGGCACGTTGGTTTGTTTTATTGGGGCTCAAATATCTGGCTTAATTTGGAGATAAGCCTCGTTTTGTTGGAGGATAAATCTGTTGAGAAGGGGTTTAACTGTTGAAATGCTCCCTCTTTCTGGTGCAAATGGGAAGATTGCTTTTCAAAGTGCTTTTTCCTGGGTGCTCTGGCTCCGGCAGAATCCTGTATTTATTTCAGGCAGAATGGCACATTGTTTTATAAATATCTTTTCTGTAGTTTCAACATAGCTGCTGGTTGTTGTGTTTCTTATATAATGCTACCGAGATCTGTCTGACTGCCTTTCGTTTGCTTTACTGTTCTCTCCCATTATCGTTCAGATTTTCCTGCATAAAGTAAAAACCCCCGAGGGAATAAATCAGTGGTGCTTATTTAAACAGACCACAACTTGAAGGAAATCCTTGCTTTTTTGGAATATCCTTTGCCATCCACCAATGGCATTCCCAACGCCGCTCGAAACCATCGATAAGTAATTTTTGTAAGCGATTGCTTTTCCACGAGCTCGCCTTGGAGCCTTTGATGCCGGGTGAGGTGCGTTCCCGTGCTCCTGCCTGCTTTGGTGAACTGTCTAAAAACCTTGTTCCTCTCTCCCCCTGCCTTCTCGGTTTTTCAGATGTGCCCTACTTTGGATATTCCTGCATTGAATGTCTGAGGAGCTCCGGCCGATCCTGAGCCATGTCGCAGATGTTGCACATAGAGATTCCCAACTTCGGGAACACCGTCCTGGGCTGCCTGAACGAGCAGCGGCTGCTGGGGCTCTACTGCGATGTCTCCATCGTGGTGAAGGGCCAAGCCTTCAAGGCTCACCGGGCGGTGCTGGCCGCCAGCAGCCTCTACTTCCGAGACTTGTTCAGCGGGAACAGCAAAAACGCCTTTGAGCTGCCGGGCACCGTCCCCCCGGCTTGCTTCCAGCAGATCCTCTCCTTCTGCTACACCGGCAAGCTGACCATGGCGGCGAGCGAGCAGCTGGTGGTGATGTACACGGCGGGCTTCCTGCAGATCCAGCACATCGTGGAGAAAGGGACGGACTTGATGTTCAAGGTCAGCTCTCCCCACTGTGACTCTCAGACCACCATGATCGAAGACCCCAGCTCGGAGCCGCAGAGCCCCTGCAACCAGCTGCAGTCGGCCTCGGCGCCCTACGTCATGTCCCCCTCCATGCCCATCCCGCTCCTCACGCGCGTCAAACACGAGAACCTGGAGCTGCAGGCCCTGCCCGGCCTGCCCGGCAAGCGGCCCCTGGAGCCCGGCGCCCGGGACGGGCCCGGCGGCGCCGGCGGCGCCAGCGCGGGGCCCCTGAAGCTGTCGCGGGTCTCCTACTACGGCGTGCCCAACCTGGCCACGCTGCTCCCCAACGTGCAGCAGGTGCAGTACTCGCAGGGAGAGCGCACCAGCCCCGGCGCCAGCAGCATCCCCACCACCGACAGCCCCACCTCCTACCACAACGAGGAGGATGAGGAGGACGACGAGGCCTACGACACCATGGTGGAGGAGCAGTACGGGCAGATGTACATCAAGTCGTCGGGAGGTTATTCTGGTAATGGATGTCTCTCTGCTTGGGTTTTCTGCGCCCTCGCAGTGGTTGTGTGGGCGTCGTCCAGCCAGCTTGGGTGGTTTTGGGTTGTTCACTAGGTTTTTGTCTTTGGGGGTTTTGTTTGTTGGTTTTTGCCCACGTGGTGGGCTTGGTGCTGGTGTCCAGGTGTGGCCTGGGCAGGTCTCCCCTGCCATCGCTCCCCACTCTTTAGATGAGAGGCTCCATCATCCACCAGGGTTGGATCAGCCTTTGCTTTTTGGCTGAGGCTGCCAGCGAGGAGCCTGGTGGTTGGACAAGCCCTGTGGTGGTGGCATCCATCCCGAGGTGATGGCTGAGCAAACCTGCCATGGGTCATCCATGGCAAGGGAAGCACCAGCCCTTTGGGCCCAGGGCGAGGTGGTCACTCTGGGAGCTGTCTTCTGTCCTGGCCTTTTAGAATAAGAGTTTCCAAAGAAGTGATGAACGTGGGATATTTGGAGGAAGGGAGAACGTCGACTAAATAATTTCTGTTAAAGTTAACTAGGAGTACCTGCAACAGGAAGGAAAGATGGACTTTTCTCCCCACTGCCTGAAGTGCCCCTCTCTCCTTTGCCAGCCTTGTCCCATACATCACTGTCAGAAAGGGAAAAAGCATTTTTGGGGCTTGATGTTCTTTTATTTCCCCATTAAAAACACAGTGCCCAGAACTAAAAATCCCTCTGCTGCCCTTCCAGAATTTGGGATTAAGGGATGAGTGTGAATCCCTCGATGGGTCTCAGACAGAGGAGGCAGCTTCACTTTGGTGGTGCTTGGCTGGGAGCTGCTGCTCAGCCCCAGGGTGGGCACAGGGACACGAGAGGTCCTTTCCCTCCTCTTCCTTGGGCACACAGCCCCTTCCCCTGGCACCTTGCAGGGCTCAGACCCTCCTGAGGAGCCAGGACGGGTGGGGTGCAGCTCCAGGGGCTCAGTTCCAGGGGGAGATGCCCGCTGGGTGCTGTCCTGTGAGCATCCCCCGTGGAACAGCTCCCAGCACCCCGCACAGATGGAGCTGGCAGTGTCCCACATGGAAGCTCAGCCTCGCAGTGGCCTCCTCGTGGGAGCTGCAGGTGTTTGTGGCAGCAGCTTTGATCCCCAGGAGCTCCCCAGGGAGGGACATCTTCCCACTGGCTCTGGCTGCACGCAGCATCCCCTGGCCTGGAGCTGCTTCCCCTGCTCTGGCTCCTGGAATTGCTGCATTAATGTTGCAAATATTTGAACTCTGGTTCATTGATGAGCTTTCCTCAAAGCCATTTGATTTTAGTCTTCACCAAGGAACGAGATTTGGCAAATAGGACAACTTTTGTTATATAAAACAGGTAGGCTTCCTTAGCACTGAGAGTGGGTCACTGCCACACACTGTCCTGTCACAGCCCATCCCATCCCATCCCATCCCATCCCATCCCATCCCATCCCATCCCAGGAGCTCAGCATCCTCTTGGCACGTTCCCCTGCCAGACAGCAAGCAGATAAGCAGGATTTTCCAAGGTGTTTTTTCACTAGAGGCATATGAAAAGGGGGGAAACGGCGAATTTACTATTTTAATATTAGAAATATTTGTTAGGAGAAGTGGACAAGCAGTTGTAGGAAATGAGCCTCAAAAGCCTGAGTACTCTCCCTGACCTGCTTCAGGTCCCAGTGGTTGGGATGGGGCAGGAGAGAAGTGGGATCAGGGTGGGACAAGGTCAGGGTCTCCTCCATGGCTGCTGTTGGAGCCAGACTGAACAGGAATTGTGCTCTTGCCCACTTGTTTTGAGTTTATTTTGCTTTTCCCTGCTGTAGAGCCTGTGGTGAGTAATGTGGGTTTGCCTTCAGTTATTCCTCAGAGCAGTGGGATCATGCCCTTGGAGTGTGTTTTCCATCCCTGTCACGGGGCCAGTTCCTGCAGGAACAGAACAAAACCAATTCAGAAGGCAAGGACAGGACCAGCCTGGGGACAGTGCAGGCAGCAGCTCTGAGGCTGTCCCTAATCCATGTCGGGCAGGAATCATCCCAGCTGGAAAAGTGAAAATCTGGGCAGCTTGCTCAGGTGTCGCTGGAGATGCTGCAGCCCTTGTGCCAGAGCTGGGCATCCCACAGCCAAATTTTCCTGCTTGTTTTCTGTTGGGAGAACCAGGTGGTGATGCTGAGGCCATGCAGGGAAGAGGCAGGTTGTAAGGCTCTAAATATCCCACATTTCTGCTGAAATTCCTCTCCCCCCATCACCTTTCAAGGGAGTTTCCTGTTGGAAATAAGGCAGCTATAGGTATCAGTCTTCCTGGAAAAGAGGGCATGCAAAAAAGAGATTACAAAAAGTAAAACCTAAGCTGTTCCTTTATGGTTTGGACTTGTAGAGCTAACTGTGTTTTAATTACTCGGGATAAACTGTACCCTCTCAAAAGGTGCAGAATAATGAAACTGTGAGATGGAAGAGAGAAGGCAGCTAATCCTGCTCCTGGCATGGAGATCCCGACAGCCTCACAAAGCCCTGGGGGAGGGGGAGCCCTCTAAAACAGGGATTGCCAAGGTTTCCAAGAGCCCTGTTTGTGAAAACAAAAACAAAGCCAAAGAGGAGCAGAGCCGATGAAGCTCTGAATTTCAGAGAGGGTTGCTGGATTTTTTTTTTTCCTTCTTTTCTAGGCTTTTTTGTTTTCTGTCTGAAGTCTTGGTGCTGGTGAGGGTGTGGTGGGACACTGGTGGCTGAGCTCTTCACCTGCCTTCAGCATCACCCACCACCTTTGGAGGGGTCACCAACCCTCTTATTGCCCCAAGGCTGGTGGTTTTTAATTTGTTTTATTCACCCCTTTTTGTAGCCAGAGCCATTCAGAATTTCCAAAGCTGGATCAGATCCACATCTCCAAATCATTAAGGTTGGAAAAGTCCTCCAAGATCAAACTTTGACCAACACTACCAAGAACACTGAGTGCCACGTCCAGTCATTCCTTGGGCACCTCCAGGCCTGAGGACTCCAAAACCTCCCTGGGCAGCCCCTTCCCGTGCCTGAACCCCTTTTAGTTGAAGAAATTCCTCCTGATGTCCAACCTGAACCTTCTCTGGCACAACTTGAGGCTGTTTCCTCTTGGAGGAAACCTGGGAGAAGAGGCTGGTGCCACCTGCAGTGAGGGACCAGGCATTGGACCTGCAGAAGGACCAGCAGGATGAGGATTAAACACAGGAGGGTCAGGCTTAGCTGTTGGCAGGGTGAAGCTGGCAGAGGGGTGTAGGAAAAGCTGCCTCAGTTTCCCCCCAGGCTCTGGCCACGTTTGGTGGCCGTGCCGTGCCGGGCTGGGAGCACTGCGGTAAAATGGCTCCTCGCTCCATAACTAGGTCTGGTTGTGGAGAACATGTGGGCCTCGAGGACACGAGCGAGACTTAATGAGGTTTCCAGCATCTGATCTGAGGAACGCACAACTCCAGAAAATATTAAACAAAAGCAAAGTATTTTTATCCCCGTTAATTACAGCGTCGTGGGCCTGAGCTGAAGTGGGTTTCAGCAGGACTTGCAGATGCTCGGCGCTTTTCTGCACTGAGCCACGTTCTTGTCAGTCAGCTCTCTGCTGAGCAGATGCAGTTAATTTAATTTTGACAGGCACCAGCGAAGTTGTGCAAGGGTCCGTCCTCCTCCCCTGCTCCTGCTGCACCGGTTTGCAGGGAAAAGGGAAAATCTTTATGCAGCAAATGGCTGGAATGTAAAGGCTGGACTTGAAAGTTATGAAATCCTGAACTGACAAGAGCACACTTCATTAAAAATTCATCTAAAATAGCCATTATAGAATAGTTGTGGTAATTAGCTGAGAGAATAGTTCTCTCTCCTGGCCTCTGATTCCTGACAGTAAGGAAAGAGGGCAAGGAACAACCCAGAATCCCAAATGATGCAGCCCGTGCAGCATCCCGAGCGGAGCCGGGCGCGCCGCGCCGCAGCGACGTAAATCACGGCAGCGACGCCGGGAATTGCAGCGGGATGGAGCAGCTGGCAGGGACTGCAGGGACAGCCACCCGATCCTGCCAGCTCCCCCTGCTCCCCGGGGCCAGCCTGGGCACAGGGAGGATGCTCAGCAGCGAAGAGCTCGTGGATTTTTAGGAAATGAAGCGGTCAAGGGCTGCGCTGGTTATCCGCCAGAGCACTTTGGTTTTTTGCAGAGGGATTCAAACACCTGCAAAGTGCTGAAAGCCTGGCTGTGTGTCTTTGGGGACTGGTCACAGCTTGGACTTGGTGGTCTTGGAGGGCTTTTCCAGGCTGAGTGGCTCTGTGGTGGCACTGCCCATCCTGACCCTGGCACGGTCGGAGCTGAGCAGGGGGAAGCTGAGCCCCAGCCCGGGGGCACTCAGCCTCTGGCCTTTTTTGGCATTAAACTTCCAGCCCCATTTTCCTCCCTCTGAACCACAGATGTTTAATTTTAGGCTGGCAGATGTTTCACTCCTGGCTGAGATCTGAGGCGAAGGCAAGATAGGGGTATTTATAAACCAGTAATATTTTTCCTATACTAATTCCAGATTACCTCCCTGTATAAATAGGTCACAAATCAAAGGGCTGCGCTTCAGCACGTTGGTATAAATGTACTATTTGGGAAATGTAAACTCTCCCCGTTGGGACTCTGTGATGGATCTATCCCGTGGTGCTTGCGTGTGTCCTCTGCTACAGGTTTACATCTGCAGCAGATGCTGGGGATGCTGAGGCTGTGGAGGGAAGATATTTTTGAGGTGGTCCCACTGCCAGTGGGAAATAGGCTGATGGGAGAGAAAAGTTAAAATATTGCTGTTTGAAAAGAGACTTCTGGTCGTGTAGGGAACAGGGGAGGATCATCCACATGTTTGCATCCGTGGTGGAGCAGGTGGAGCTGGGCTCTCCAGCCTTTTCTTCAGGGCTTGAGGTGTGTGGTTACATGCTGGGACTCTGTAAACATCAATTTTTGGGTGAGGATCCATCACTCTGATCTTTCTGTATCTCCAAATCCCATTCCTAAACCATAACCAGTTGTTCCTTACCCACAGGAGCACCTTGGTGTTTATGTGCAGTTTGGAGAACCCAGACTGGTGGGAACTGGGGGTTCATGGCTCATTTTGAAGCCCTGCTGTTTGGGCTGTCAGGAATTAAGGAGATAAGTGGGTGCTGGGGCCAGGTGTGTGCCCAGCAATTGCCAGGCACTGCCCTGAGCAGCCCAAACCCAGCAAATTCAGGTGGGACATGCAGAAATCCCAACGTCACCCAACCATCATGGGCTCAGCACTAAGGTGCTGTGAGGGATCTCTGGAATGTGTTTTAGGGATAAGGAGGACATGAGCCCCAGCATCATGCAGAGCCTGGAGCCATGGAGCAGTTTGAGGCTGTTTCTTCAGCCAAAAAAATCCAGGAAAATGGATATTTCCCATTCTGCACTACCTGTTGCAGCTGCAGCATCCAGCTAAGTTTGGGATAAAAGCATATATCCAAAGAAATAAAATATTCCAGTGTTTGGCTGGCAGCTCTCGTGGCTTCCTCTGTAATGATTTCCTGCCCCTCTCTGCTGGCTGGGAGCTCCTTTCTTGTTCAGGACCAAAACTGTATTTAACAATACTTCCCATTGTTTGCCCTTTCATTCAAAGGGAAGGAGCCGCTGCCCTCTGAAGATACAAATTAATTAGAAGCAAATACTCTCCTGTTCTCCGGAGCAGAAAGGCCAAACAGAGTGGCTTTCTGTGGAAACATGGCACCAAAGTGGCTCTTGTGTCCTGCTCCTTTACATAACTGATTGCTATCTGCTCAATTGAGGTGCCACTGAAAGCCCCAAACCTCTTTTTTGTTTGGTGTTGTTATTTTGTGCTAATGCTTGAATGGAAATAAAGCCCCCAAAATGATTCATGGCCGTGTTTAATAAGAGATTTATAGACAGTGAGCCAGCAGGACAGATGTAACCAAAAGGCAGCAGTGGGTTGAGTTGCACTTGGTCTTTTTCAGCTGAATTTTAGTTTTGTTTATGAAGTATGGTGCTGTTAGATATTGTGGGTGCTTTTGACCTGAGCCATTGGTTAAAGTAAAAATGAAATATTAAAAATTCAGTTTGATAACCTGGGCAGAGCCCTGTGCTGGGGTGGGGTTGTGTAGGTCACATATACAGCTCCTAGGGGGTATATATTTAATTTTATCTCTGAGTAAAATTTTACCTCTAGGAGATGACTGAGGTGTCCCTTCCTCCCCTGGAGCTGCCCTGGTGGCCCTGCCTTGCCAGGGAAGGACAGCAGAGCAGGGCTGGTTCCCCCACACCCACTGTCCCTTCACTTCTGGTTTATTTAAGCTGCAAATATAAGCATTTAATTGGATATGGTCTGTTTATCACTCTTTAAAAGCCTCAAAATAGAGCTGGTCTTTGAGATTCTCCCTCAGTGGGAGCTGACCCCCATCTCCAACAGGATCTTGGCTTGGGAATACTGGGAATATTGCAGCTGGGAATGTCAGGGGCACAGATACCCCGCTGATGACGGGGCTGTGATGGCACAAAGAGTTCAAAACCACCCTGCGAGTTGTCCTGCTGCTGTTGGGTCCTGTCTCCCTGAGCACTACCACCCTCCTGCCATTCCAGAATCCCTCCTGGCGCTCCTCAGGGAGCCCTGAGGGTGGGGATGCCCCCGGAGCCTGCCATAGGATGCCACAGCCCAGCACCACGGGCATGTCCTACTTAGAACACTGCTCCCTTTGTCCCCGAGCCATCGCCCTCGGTTACTGAGCAACAAGTCTGCAAAACTTGTTATTTTATCTGCAGGGAGGAAAAGTGGCCCCCAGAACGCGGGGATAATCACAGGAAAAGGCACCTCTGGAGCAGGGGACTGGGTTTTACCTCAGAAACGCTCCTTGCTGGGGTTCTGCTTCTCTGTGTTCACAGATATTCGAGCACGGAGCTGGGTTTGGGTTTGTGTGTGGCACTTGCCACATTATCAAACAGTTTTGGGGGGAAAAAAGTGGATCATGGCAGAGTTGGGCTGCAGTTCAGCCCTGGTGCTGTTCCCACCGTGTCCTGAAGTTGATGTGCATGGTCAGCCCTCGTTGCTGTCAGAAATTGTCATTTTAAGCAGTCTGGTGGTCTTGGGCTGTAAATGTGTTTTAGAAACCCATCCTCTGTGTGCCCACAATGCCCAGATTTGGAGGTGCTGGCAGGACAGCCCAGTAATTCCAGCTTTTCCATGTTACTGCTTGCTCCTGGGCACTGGTGGGCTCTGGAGATGGTGCATCAGAGCCAGTTGGGAAAATCTGGTATTTTGGCTTTCAAGCTACATCCTAATAACATTTTTTGCCTTGTTGATGGGGGCTTCTTTTGTTACTGAGAGGAAAAGTTGGCCTGCAGAAGGCAGAGGAGCAGAAGCTGGGCTGGAGGTGGCTGGGGGTGCATCTCAGGAGAGGCTCTGGTGACCTTGCTCAGAGCAGAGGTGTCTGCAGGGTCTGGATTGTTCCTTCAGCAGGAAAAACCATCAAGAGAAGTAACGATGGAACTGCTGCAGGTGTTCATCAAACTGGGGCAATTCAGTGCCTGTTTAGAAGCCCTGGTGAAATTCCTGCCTCCCTCCTGGGGTTGTGGGGCAGCAGCTCCGTGTGCTGCACTTGCAGAGCAATGCCAGCTGTGCAGAGCTGTCCATTTTCACAAATTATTAACTCAGGAGAAGTTAAAGCATAATGAGATTCTGAGAATCCCTTTTGCAGAACCTGAGGCTGCCGTGCAGGGGGAGACCAGGGGATTTTTCCAAGCCTTCAGGTGGCACCTGCCCCGTGGGTGGACGTCTGGAGGGGGGAATATTTCCAACTTCTGCATGAAGAAGTCAAAGCCTGACCTTCTGCCAGCGTTGTGACAAGTTCTTTTAACAGTTTTCCCTTTTCATTTTGAAGTTGCCCAAGAGAAGGCAGAGCAGATCCCGCTGGAGAACCGCTCCTGTGTCCTGATCCGACGGGACCTGGTGGCTCTCCCTGCCAGCCTCATCAGCCAGATCGGGTACCGCTGCCACCCAAAGCTCTACTCCGAGGGAGACCCTGGGGAAAAGCTCGAGCTCGTTGCAGGTAGCTTTTCCTTGGAATACCTTTGGATTGCTGCTGTTTTCCTTCTGGAGTTGTGCTCTCCGTCTTGCTGCAGTCGCGCATCTCGTGTGCCCTTGCTGTGTCTTTCTGGATTCTTCGTCACCACTCGTCTTTTGAAAAGTTCTGAGTTTCCTTTAATTTGCTGACAGAAAAATGTGTCATTAACAGGATTTATTCAATTGAATTAATTTAGCATTTTAATTGAATTCTGCAGCTTGTGTTCTTCCTGCTCGGTGTGGCTGCAGTGAGTGTGTTTTCATTTAGAATCATAGATCTAAAAATTCAACCAACCCCCCTCAAAAATTACCACAGTATAAGATTGACAAAGCAGGGGAGATAAAATTTGTGTCAGTGAACAAGCTTTGAAAAACCTGTAAAAGTTTCTTTATAAATTTACTGAGTGGTCAAATGCTGCAGCAGGAGGAGAAGAAGGAATTGGGTTTGGTCCTTTCTTCTGTCTTTGCTTTCATTTTGGGGGGAGTTTACAATACTGAGAGAATTTACTCCTTCTCTAGAAAAGATTTCTGGCCAGTGTGAGGTGGAAGATGGTTCTGTTTAGAGCTGAAGGAGTGAAATCAGGTGGCTGTGCCCAGGCACACCCAGCACTGCACAGAAAGTGTTCAACTGGAGTGACCAGGTCGAATTCCAGTGGAAATAATCATATTCTGCTTTTAGAAGCTTCCCCCAGCTTTACTTTGCAGTGGCCTGGCTGTGGGTTTTTCCCTTGGATGTGGCTGTGTGGGGATGGCTGGGCAGGACATCCCAGACGTGCCCCCAGGTGGGGAGGTTTAATTAATCCCTTTAATTTTAATTGGTCCAAAAAGGACATGTGGCAGCACAGTCCATCCAAATCAGTTCTTCTTCCCTTGCAGTCATTTCTCTCTTGGTGAGTAGCATGATTTCATTTTCATTCTGGAGAAGGAGCCAGGATTTCAGGGGATGCCCACAAAGGTTTGCAGCTGATGGAGGACGGGGCTTTGATGGAAGGCAAAGCACAGCGTACAACCACAAGAATTTATTTTGGATCTGGAATATTCATTTTGTACCCATTTCCATTTAATGTGAGACTTCTTAAAACCATCAAGTGGTGCAGGTTATTTTCACAGTGAGAGCTGCAAATTGGTTTGAGGCAACTCTGCTTGATTTACATTTTTCAATCTGGAAAAAAAGTAGATTAATATCACTAACCGATAGTGGCTGCCTGGTTATTTCTCATTTATTAAAGTGAAGTTCCCCTCAGTGGTGGTTGGTGTTTGCTCTGATGCCTTATCTCTTAAAATACAAAATAAACTCCCCTAATTCCTGTCTCAGACCTGGAGGGGAGGCTTGATCCTGCTGTGAAAGTTTTCCTCAGCTCTCCAAGTGGGAGTGTTTTCCTTTTGTTTCTGGTTTTTCATGCTACAATTGATTCAGCAAACTTGAGCAGCCCTCTCTGAAAAAGGGTCTTTAACAAGGCTTGCAGTCACCACGGCACATCTGAGGGAAGGACTGTGGCTGTTACTCAAAAAAAACCAAAAAAAAAACCAAAAAAAACCCCCTCATTAGATGGAAGAGAATACAAGGAGAATTCCTGGTGAGACGTGGCATGGCTCAGAGATCCAGAGGGATGCTGGATCCTGGGGCAGGATGGGTGCCCTGGGGTGCCAGGGAGGTGCAGAGGGTCAGGCCCAGGGGCTGCCCTGAGCTCCAGCTCCATCCAGAAGTTCAGGGACAATCACCTTCCCTGGAAATCCAGGAGATACTACTTCTTCAGCAGATGTTTTTATATCTTGAGAACAGAGTGTGTTCTGGATCCAGCTATGACCCATTATTTAATCTTAATTAACAGCAAATACCAAAACCCTCTCATGTAAGAGAATGCTTGAAAAATGGGATAACCCCTCCCTGGAAGCAGTGCTGAGGCAGGAGCAGGTTGGTCTGTGAGCAGAGTAAAAAGGTTTGCTATAAAACCTGCTGTAAAGTACTGCCAGACCTCTGGACGTGTCCAGCTGCTTTGCACAGGGTTCCTTTTTCTTCCAGAAAACATCCTTAAAGGCAGCAGGTTCAAAGGCAGCAGTTCCTGTGCATTAGAAGGAAAATTCCCTGCTCACCAGAGGTATCAAGAGGTGATGGGCTGGGGTTTTGGAAGCAGTTAGATCTGTAACCAAGTACCTCTTTTTGTGCTAGATGGGTTTTTTCTTTCATTTCCAGCTCTGTGTTCTACAGTCCTGCACTGGAAAAAAAAAAAAAGAAAAGGCCAAATGGGTTGGGGTTTTCTAGCTTCAGAAAGAATAAATAATCTGATCTGTACATATCAAATCACAGTGTAAGCCTTGCACCGTGTGCATTGGTGAGAAAATAAGAATCCTTTCATTTGATTCCCATAGACTTCCTGTCTGTACTGATAAAATTAGGAGCTGTTATTGCCTGGGACTTGCCAAGGCCCCAAGGATTTGTCAGGATTTTGCAGAAATCCCTCTGTCCTTGTTGGATTGGTGAAGAGGAGGTTCCCACCAGCGAGGAGGAGCCGAGGGTGGCTCAGGGGTGGCTCTGGGGCTGTGTCAGGGCTCATTTTGGGTTGTCCCTCTCCACCCTTGCAGGCTCAGGTGTTTACATCACCCGGGGGCAGCTGATGAATTGCCATTTATGTGCTGGTGTCAAACACAAGGTCCTGCTCAGACGTCTCCTGGCCACCTTCTTCGACCGGTAGGTCCCGTCCCACTGCTCCTCCTGCTCTCCCAGGGGATTCCTTCCCTGCTCCCTTCACCTCCCAGGGCTTTAACCCTGTGTCATGAGTGCTTCATCCTCTGCACTCAGCTCTGAGCATTTCCTTAATGATGCTTGAGAACTTTATTCCATTTCCATGCACATTTCATATTCCTCACCTTAAAATCCTGGCGATGCCTGCAGCAGGACCTGAAGGGAGGAGGGCAGGGAGTGGCTGTCCCCTGGCCCCTCTCCCAGGCTCTCCTTTTTCCTCCCCACAGGAACACTCTTGCCAACAGCTGTGGAACTGGAATCAGGTCCTCCACCAGCGATCCCAGCAGGAAGCCCTTGGACAGCAGGGTCCTTAATGCAGTCAAATGTAAGGAGAGGGGTGTTCTGCTGCTGGGGTACAGCATGGCCCAGCCCTGGGCAGGGGAGGGCACTCTCTTGTGTGGTAATGTGCAATTACATTGTAGAAAAATCAATTTGTTTTTTAGTTTGCATCGTTTTTTGGTTGCCCAGAGAAGCTGTGGGTGGAATGTGCTCTCCATCAGCCACTTCCCCCTCAGTCACCTGGGGATACCTGGAGTGTTCTGGGACTGGAGATGCTGGAGAGGGAGGAGCTGAAGGCTGCAGGAAACCTTGAGGGGTGTGGAAAAATCTATTTGCCATGGGCTTCATGTGCAGTGGAAATCACTGTGCTCTCTCACCCTGGCTGAATTCTGGGAGTAAATCTATGTGTAAATACTCCTGTGCTGAAGAACAAAACTCTTAAGCAGGTTTTTTCATTTAGTTTTTAAGATTTGGAAAAGAAATCTTTCCCCTCCCTAATTGTAAAGTCCAGGGGCCTTCCAGCTGCCCTGGTGGATCTGTGGTGTCTGGGGAAGAGGGACAAGAGGGCAGATGTTCAGCAGTGTGGTTGAACATGGTGGAGTCAGCTCCCTGTTAGCAGTTTTATCCTGGAGAGCCCCAACTCTGGACTTTCCAGCCATGGTCCTTCCTGAGTGGGCTGGAAGGGCATTGCTGCTGTGTGCCAGGGTGTGGGGTGGGTTCCTGCTGCCTGGATTTGTCCCTGTGCACAAGGTTTAGCTCACAGTTACTCACCATGGCGGTGCCTTGGATGCTGCTCTGTACCATCAGGTGCTCGGGGGATTGCAGGGCTCCTGCAGCTCCACTGCTGCTGCCTCCCAGGGGATGTGCCAGCAGAGGCATGCTGGGGCAGCCAGGCTGCTGGGCCACGCAGGGCTGGCCTGAGGAGAGGGACAGCAGAGGACAATCCCTTGGGCAAACCCCCAGCTCTGACATTTCCTGCAGCACTATGGGTTTAGGAGCTACTAATGGAGCTGCTGCTGGGGGGTTTGTGGGATCTTCGGAGCTGCTGCTGTGGGGTTTGTGGGATCTTCTCTGTGCCCACCTCTGCTTTGGCCATCCCCACATGCCGTGGCTGTGGGGCTCCCCAAGGAGCGAGGGGCTCTTTTTCATCCCACTCACTGTGCCACACGGGGTGTTCACACCTTCTGCTCTCACCCCTCCAGCTGAGGAGCTCAGTGGGTGAAGCTCCACTCCCAAGAGTCCAGGCTCACCTTTGTGCCTCTCCCCCCGAAGGCTGAGCTCCGTGTCTCCCTGTCTTTGCAGTGTACTGTCAGAATTTTGCCCCGAGCTTTAAGGAGAGCGAGATGAACGTGATCGCGGCCGACATGTGCACCAACGCGCGGCGCGTGCGCAAGCGCTGGCTGCCCAAGATCAAATCCATGCTGCCCGAGGGCATGGAGATGTACCGCAGCGTCATGGGCTCCTCCACAAACACTGTCCCCCTGGAGCAAGACTTCCAGCCCAACGCCGCTCAGGCCTTCGAGCAGCGCATCTATGCAGAGAGGAGGAGCGAGGCGGGGACTATCGTGGCCTTGAGAACTAGCACGGTGAACGTGGAGCTCAGCAACGCCTCCAGCCAGCCCTTCGAGCAGGGCGAGGACGCCGAGGGCGCCGGCTCCGTCATCCAGGAGGCGGCCGCCCCAGACGCCGTGGCCTCGGAAACCCAAAGCACTCCGCAGCCCTTCGAGCAAGGCTCGGGCTCCTCCAGCCGGCCCGAGACCCCCGTGAGGAGGCAGGATGGTACTTATGGAGGGACTTTATAGAGAGAGAGCAAACATTTCATGACCTATAAGGGATCTGTAATACTAAAGCTGCTTGCATGCGTTACTAATACAAAACGAAAAAAATGTGATCAAGCCACTTACCTACTGAACTGCTACTGTTGCCTGAAAAAAATGTGATTTTTATTCTGCTTGTATTTAAAATTTATGAAGGAAATAATCGCATTCGTTATACTGTAAACGACTAGGTCTGTGGCGACCTACTTAAAAAAATATTGGGCTCCTTTTTTGATATTCCTGAGGTTAGTCTATAAGATTGTAGCTTTTTCTTTTTTTTTTCCTTTCCTTTCCTTTTTTTTTGGTTTTTTTTGGGTTTTTTTGTTTTTTGTTTGTTTTAAGAAGGGGAGGAGAAAAGCTAGCCACCCCCCCCCACCCACCACCACCCCGTCATCACCCCATCCATCACTCAGCTCAGAAGTAAAGCCATCGTTAACCTTGTCCTCTAAGGAGAGTTTTGTCACTGAACAGGAAAGCGAGGCGTGTTCGGGTGCAGGTGCTGTGACTGGCCGCGTTTGTCTCGGGAAGGGCTCGAGCCAAGTGGGATGGGCTGGGGGAAAGCGTGGCAGTGACCGTGGCCAGACCCCCCTGGAGGCAGGGGGGAGCCCTGGCTGTTGAGTGGGTGCTGTTGTCCCGGGGAGGATCCTGCAGGGATGGCTCTGCAGGAATTCGGGAGGACTGCGTGGGATGCAGGTGGAGAGCCTGGCTGCCGTTGTGCTTGTGGTCTGGTTTTTGCCCAGTATGGCTGGGTTTGGGTTTGGTTTTTCTCTCCCTTCCTGCCTCCCAGCCATCCCTTTTCCTTTGCTTCTCCGTGTCTGCACCTTCACCTCCCCACTCGTGGGGGGCCGGGCTCTGCCACCCCTCTGCACCCCGGGGTGTGCAGCTCCTGGGGCACCCACTGGGAGGGGAGGAGCCCCCCTCATTTAGGGATTGAGGGAGGAATCTGAGCATGGAGAGCACGTTGTTCTTGCTCCAAAGGGCACGGAGTCAGGAGCTCCTGGTGTTGGCTCCTGACAGCATCCGCACCGGAGGCAGAGCTCAGTGTGTGCAGAGCTCACCCTCTGCCCCTCCCTCCTCCCCAGGCCAACCAGGCTCTCACTTTTTAATAATTTGGGGTGTATTGGATGCAGAAATTTTAAAAATGAGCTTTGAGCCCTTCTGTGAAGTGGTTTTGGGGAGGAGGAAGCACTTTGCCTCCTGCTCACCCTCCCGCTGCCCCTTCTGGGGAAAACCCAATGTGGAGTTATGTGTCTTTATTTTTGTTGTTGCAGGCTGATGTCCCCAGGCTGTGGTGGCTTTGGTGGCCTCGGGATGGCACTTGTGGGTGTCCCTGGAGCCTGATGGGCAGCAGGTACCTGCTCTGTCCCTCACCTTTCCAAACCCCAAAGTCTGTCCCTCAGAGCTCTGAGGGGACACTGCAGCTTCCCCCGAGGGCTGGGGCCAGGCTGGGGGTCCCCAGGGGATGGGGACAGGAACATGAAAGCCAAGTTTGGCTTTTTCCTTTTTTTCCTTTCCTTTTTTTAATGATGGTTATTTTTACTGTGACTTAACGACCTGCTTTAATGACACTTGCAGCTTGTTCTCTAACACGTTTGGGACTAGGAACAAGGTGCACAAAGTCGCTTTTTGGCTGCTGTGGCTGTGCTCCTCTTTTCTTTCCTGCTTTGATTCCCTAATCCAGACAGCGCTTTGCTCAGGGTTTTCTTCCTTCTTTGTATTTCCATTGGGAAAGGGGGAGTGGGGAGAGGATAACCCAACTTTTGGCCATTTGTTTTGTTTTCTTTGATACTTGAAGCAGTTTTTTTGCGTCGTAAATAACGAGGCTGCCCAGCCTGTGCCACTGCTCCTGACACAACAAATCAGTGATGAGGGGGGTCCTGCCCCACTCTGGGTTTTGGCACAGCTTTTTTGGGGGGACTGTGACGCCCCAGAGCAGATTTTGGGGGCTGGTGCAGGTGCAGGGGTGTGGGATGCTGTGGAGAAGTGGGAATGGGCACGGCTCTATTTGCACTTTACCCACATCACTAAACAACCCCAGGGACCACGGGCTGAGCTCGGGGGGCTTTGTCCCCATCCCTGGGGACACGGAGCAACTCCTTGGCCCTGGGGACAGCTGCTGGAGGGCAGCTCAGCCAGCTTGGTGGGGCTCAGCTTTGCCTGAGGACCCTCCTGATCCCCAAATCTTTGGGTTTGCCAAAACTTTGAGGCAAGCTGGGAGCGGAGGTCAAAAGTCGTCCCTTGTGTGTGTGTCTGTGTGCATATATATAAATATAAATATAGAGAGAAGAGATATTGCAGAGGATTCCTCCTCCTCCTCCTCCTTTTTGGCACTTGCAGGGGGTGGGGAGCAGGCTGAGCCCCCTGGCCAGGGGCTGCACTTGGCTGGAGGGATTAATTCTGGACCAAACCTGTTCCCAGACAGCCGGGGGGGCCACCGGGGGGGCAGCAGCAAAGTACTTGAATGGCTTAGGACAGAGAGTCTGCAGAGAGTCAAGTTGCACAGTGAAAAAATATATTTTTATACCTAGCACAACTTCCTGTATATTTTGGGGTTTTTTTCTTTCTTTTTTTTTTTTTTTTTTTCATTTCCTTTTTTTTTTTTTCCTGATTTGGGTTTGTTTTATTAATTATTATTATTATTATTATTAGGAAGACAAACTTCTAAAATGTGAAGGGCGTTGGGTTTTTCCTTATCTGGTAGATGAGGGCAAGCATTTTGCACTAATGTTTCCTGTGTGTGGAGGATTAATGATATGTTTGAAAATGTTATATGGTAATGATTGTATTCTTCCGAGAAAAAAAAACAACAAAAAAAAAAAGCAAAAAAAAATAACCCCTTAAAACTGAATGTAAGGTGAGAACAGAGCAGTCCATCGATTGTATGCGGCTTTCCTGAGTGCCTTAGAATTTTTTGATCATTTTTTTTCCAAGGAAAACAGATTAAGAAGATCAGATCATAACGTACTCCTTCCTCCTCTTTGTTTACGACACTATTTTAAATTCTAGGATTTTGGGGCTGCTTTATAATGTGAATAGGAAACTGCATTCATCTAGGTCTGACAGTGTAAAATCAGAGCATCAGTATTTATGGTATGTCTGCACCTTTATTCTTATGCTTGACTATTAGCAATATTACCTGTATATTCTATATCTAAAGTTATACCAAGCACCTTTAACGAGCGCAGAGTGTAAAACAAAGCACCCGAGTTCCCCGCAGCTGCCGTAGCGTAGGACCAGCTCCTCTCCTCCTCGTTAGCGCTAATTAATCACCGCTTCGCCCGGCCGAGGGGCTGCATGACCCTCTGCCCCCGCGGTGTGGCACAGGCCGGTGGCACGGTGACATTCCCGACCCTTCCCGGCGGTGAGGGCAGGAGCTGGAGCGGCCCCCGGGCATCCCGGGGCCGGGGACGCTCCGGGATGGGGCCGGGAACGGCGGCTCCGAGCCCCGGGTGGAGCTGCCCCAGGGGCTGGGCAGCGGAGACCTGCGGTGTCCCCAGGGTGTCCCCAGGGCTGTCCCGGAGATGTCCCAGGGCTGTCCCCAGGGTGTCCTCAAGGCTGTCCCAGAGCTGTCTCTTAGGGCTGCCCCTCGGCTCTGCTCAGAGCTGTCCCCAGGAATGTCCTCAGAGCTGTCCCTGGGGATGTCCCCGGGGCTCTGCTCAGAGCTGTCCCTAGAGCTGTTCCCAGGACTGTCTCCCAGAATTGTCCCCAGGTCTGTCCCCTCGACTGTCTCCCAGAACTGTCCCCAGGACTGTCCCAAGGTTGTCCCCAAGTCTGTCCCCAGGTCTCTCCCTGGGTCTGTCCCAGTGCTGTCCCAGGACTGTCCCCAGAACTGTCCCTGGGTCTGTCCCAGATCTGTCCCTGGTCTGTCCCCAGGTCTGTCCCCAGGACTGTCCTCAGAGCTGTCCCTGGGGATGTCCCCGGGGCTCTGCTCAGAGCTGTCCCTAGAGCTGTTCCCAGGACTGTCTCCCAGAATTGTCCCCAGGTCTGTCCCCTCGACTCTCTCCCAGAACTGTCCCCAGGACTGTCCCTGAACTGTCCCTGGGGCTGTCCCCAGGGTTGTCCCGGGGCTCTGCTCAGAACTGTCCCCAGGACTGTCCCAAGGTTGTCCCCAAGTCTGTCCCCAGGTCTCTCCCTGGGTCTGTCCCAGTGCTGTCCCAGGACTGTCCCCAGAACTGTCCCTGGGTCTGTCCCAGATCTGTCCCTGGTCTGTCCCCAGGTCTGTCCCCAGGACTGTCCCAGGTCTGTCCCCAGGACTGTCCCCAGGTCTGTCCCAGGTCTGTCCCCAGATCTGTCCCAGATCTGTCCCAGGTCTGTCCCGGGTCTGTCCCGGGTCTGTCCCAGGTCTGTCCCAGGTCTGTCCCAGATCTGTCCCAAGTCTGTCCCGGGTCTGTCCCAGATCTGTCCCAGGTCTGTCCCGGGTCTGTCCCAGCTCTGTCCCGGGTCTGCTGTCCCAGGTCTGTCCCCAGGTCTGTCCCCAGATCTGTCCCAGGTCTGAGCCCAGGGCTGTCCCAGATCTGTCCCAGGTCTGTCCCCAGGGCTGTCCCAGATCTGTCCCAGATCTGTCCCAGCTCTGTCCCAGGGCTGTCCCAGGTCTGTCCCCAGGGCTGTCCCAGGGCTGTCCCGGGGCTGAGCCCAGATCTGTCCCAGGTCTGTCCCAGGTCTGTCCCCAGATCTGTCCCAGGTCTGTCCCAGGTCTGTCCCGGGTCTGTCCCGGGTCTGTCCCCGGTCTGTCCCGGTTCTGTCCCCGGTCTGTCCCGGGTCTGTCCCGGGTCTGTCCCCGGTCTGTCCCCGGTCTGTCCCGGGGCTCTGCTCCCTGGCGTGTCTGGGATCGCTCTCTGCGGCTGGGGAAGGAGCCGGGATGAGCCGGGAGTGTCCCCAGGTGTCCCCGCAGCCATCCCGGGGTTCAACTGCTGTTCCAAGTGTTCTGCTCTCCCAGCCCTGCTGGCAGCGAGGGGGACACGCTCCCATTGGAAACCCCTCCACTCCTCCTCGAGTTTCTTCCACTGTTTAAAAGCGTTTTGCACACACACAAAAAATTTAAAAAAAAAAAAAGAGAAAAAAAAATCGTGATTTTTATGTCAAGGTTATAATAAAATA